GGACAAGCGGCCGCGTGGATGATGGAACCCCAGGCCTGGAAGGCAACCGACGGCAAAGCCGAGGATCCGAAGTGCAAGACAGCGAAACTCGTCGAGGCAGCGAAGCCCTGCCAGGGTGTGGGATTGGGGCTTTGGGCGGGAAATGAGGGGACGCAGCTGAGCGACGGGCGGCAGCTGCCGCTGGCACCCGTGTCGTGGCCACCATCTCTAGCGAAGTTGTGCGGAGGTCGATGTTTCGCGAAGTTTCGCGGAAGCCTTCGAGAACTGGCGCCACGCGGGGCCCGTCTTTCTCGACCTCTTGCCCCATCCAGTCCTTGCGTACTCCGGAAACGCTCTGCCGGAGCACGTTCTGGGTGCTGCTCCTGCTGCTGCCTCCTCGTCCTCTAAGGCCCCTCAGCCGTTCCGAGTGGCTGAAAATCGAATCCTGGAAGGAGTCCCTGGGGACTCCCGGCGATTTATGGCCCAGGAGCGGAGACTCTTGAAACCAAAACCGCAGGGCCTCGATGGCCATCAGCTTGTAAGTTTGAGCTGTGCCGCCGCCCCCCTGGAGCGCGTATACCCGTGCAGCAGGGCGGGCTGGGGCCCGTGCAGTCGACCCGTGCCTGCAAAGGTTGCTGGTCGAGTGAATTGGCCCACGCAGGCCACTCAGGGGCCACCTTTTGTCGTAATGAGGTGACTCGTGGATTCGGCCCCACAACTCCCCCTACCTGCTCTACCTCGTCATCCTTATCACCTTCTGCCTCAGACTCATCGGCATCATCATCCTCCTGCTCCTCCTCCTCCTCCTTCTCCTCCTCCTCCTCCTCCTCGTCATCATCATCATCATCATCATCATCATCATCATCATGATCATCATCATCATCATCATCATCATCATCATCATCATCCTCCTCCTCCTCCTCCTCCTCCTCCTCCTCATCATCCTCATCCTCATCCTCATCATCATCCTCATTATCATTATCATTCTCCTCCTCCTCCTCCTCATCATCATCATCATCATCATCAGTATCATCAGCAGCAGCATCAGCATCAGCATCAGCATCAGCATCATCCTCATCCCCATCATCATCATCATCATCATCATCATCATCATCATCATCATCATCATCATCATCATCATCGTCAGCATCAGAATCATCACCGTCATCATAAGCACCAGCATCAGCATCAGCATCATCACCATCATAAGCATCAGTATCATCAACAGTGCATCATCATCAGAATCATCAGCATCGCCATCATCATCTATATTACCATCATTATCATCAGTATCATTGTCATCATCATCAGCAGCATCATCAGCATCATCAGCATCATCAGCAGCATTACCATCATCAGCAGCATCATCATCACCATCACCACCACCAACACCATCATCAGCATCATCAGCAGCATCATCGTCATCGTCATCGTCATTATCGTCGTCTACCGTCCACATCAGCAGCATCATCATCACCATTGTCGTCACCCTCGTCATCATCATCATCATCATCATCATCATCATCATCATCATCATCATCATCATCATCATCATCAGCATCATCAAACGCATCATCAGCATAATCAGCACCATCATCAGCATCATCATATGTGTCATCACAAGCACCAACACCAGCAGCATCAGTATCACCAGCCTCGCCACATTCACCACCATAGGCAACAGCAGCAGCAGCATTTTACTCCTTACCACCACCACAATCAGCATCGCCCTTACCATTACCAGCACCAACGTCGACATCATCGTCGTAGTCGTCATCGTCATCGTCATCGTCATCGTCATCATCATCATCATCATCATCATCATCATCATCATCATCATCGGCGGCGGCGGCGGCGTCATCATCACCACAATCAGCATCGTCATCATCATCATCAGCATCAGCATTAGCGTCATCATCGTGACCCCTGCCGTCCATCATCAACAACAACATCGCCACCACCACCGTCACCACCATCATCATCATCATCATCATCATCATCATCATCAGCATCATCAGCATCATCATCATCATTATCGCCAGTGGCATCATGATCGTCCTCATCATCATCAGTTTCATAATCGTCATCGTCATCATCATCAGCATCATCATCACCATCATCCGCATCATCAGCATCGTCATCAGCATAGAATCAGAATTCCCATGTTCCGTCCTCTCGCACCCACATCCCTCTCTCCCCTCCGTCCCCCCCGCTCTGCGCCTCATCATCCCCCCTCCCGTCCTCGCCTTTCCTCCTGCTTGCCGTCCTCTTCCATACTGGCCCTCCTCCCTGTTCCCCCCCACCCGCATCCTGTCTCCCATCGCTGTACCACCACCCCTTTCTTTCACTTCCCAGATTGCCCCTCCAATGCCTCATGTTCATCCGCGCGCCACCCTCTCTCTCCTCCCACTCCTCCTCATCTTACCCCTATCCCCCCTCGTCTCCGTAGCCGTTTTGGCTCTGACCCGAGGACAGGTTTCAGAATCTCCGCCTGGTCTGCCCCAGGTGCGAAGCGGCGCAAACAGTTGCAGCGCCGTTGTGCCATGGCGTCACCAGCAGCAGGTAGGGCTGTCCTGCGTGGGAGCAAGCTGCCGGCGTGGTCGCGCGCCAAGCGAGGCACGGCCCACTGGGCGTGCCGCGTGGTCTGCCTGTGTGGGGCCAAGGCCCTCGCAGATGTAGCCAAGCGCGCGCGGGCTGCCCATGAGAAGGCCGAGGCGGGCGGGCAATCGACGCGCTCGGGCACTGGCGGTGGAGGAGGCGGGCAGAACCTCTCGGCAGTGCTGGCGGAGCTGGCCAAGGAGGTCGCATCTCTCAAGAACGGGTGCGCCGCCCCTGGTGAAAAGGAGAAGCCCCCGACACCAGAGCAGATTGGCAGGTCCAGATCGACGCGGGCGGTGGCGTCCACGATTGCCAACCACAAGAAGGCGAAGATCGAAGGGGCCCTCATCACTGGTGCGGGGAAGCACATGGCCTCGCTGCGGGCGCAGCGGCTGGAAGGCAAGTCCCCGCAGTCGCAGGTCATCACGCTCAACGGGCGGCTTGGCAGGCTCAGAAGCAAGCAGGAGAAGCTCGAGAAGGGCAAGGAAGAAAAGGCCAAGGCAGCGGAGGATGCGAGGAAGGCCCAGGAGCAGTGACTCGCCGACCAGAGTGCCCACGACGCGGACCTCGCAAACACCAAGACGGCCATCGCCGAGGTCGAGCGCGAGGTGCAGGCCGCCGTCCAACGTGCAGCCCCCTCTGGGGCCGGCCAGCCGCCTGGGCCTGCTATGTGGGCCGCCGAGCAGGAGTCGCTTGTCAAGCAGGTCCTGGCCAAGGACGCAGGGGCGAGTGCGCTGGAGCCTGGTGCCTGAAAGGTCCTCGCCACCCTGCTCGGCAAGGCTTTGGCTGAGGCTGTGCCTTCTGGCGTACATCCTGGTGGGGCGGCGGCGATGGCGGTGACACTGACGAGGAGGTAGACGAAGCCATGCCCGAGGCATTCGACCAGGAGACCGCCGACCTCCTCAAGAACGCAGCTGGCCAGCCCGACGCCAAGCGAGCACTAGCCGCAGCGCTGCGGGGCCTCAACTTGGTCAAGCGGCGGCAGCGTCCCTGAGCGGAAGGAGGGGCGGGCAGGGCACCACACCGCTGCTCGCTGCAGAGAGCACGGAGACCTTCCTGGCGATGATGGTGTGCCTGAGCCAGGGCGTGTACAGTCAGGTTCTCGAGGGTGCGAGCAGCCACAGTTCAGTTTTCCAACAGTCAACGTTACGTCATGGCGGACGGGAACTCAGCAGGTGGGCGATTTCCGTACGTCCCCTAACCAAGTCGGCCTTGTCCAGGAGCACATGCTTCGGACTGAGCGGCTTCGAGAAACCGAGGAAGAGCGTACATTCTAGAGGATGGTGCTTTGCTCGGGGTGAGGCGGTGATCAAGAAGGCCATGCCCAGCGGCGGGACAGGCATCATCGCCAAGCGCTATCTCGACTACTGGCGGGACCATCCCGAGTCCTGCATCGCTGATGCACGCGTCTCGGTGGCTTTCGTTCGGCTGACGCAGATGGGCGCGCTTGATCTGCATTCCGTGTCATTGGCGACTGGCGTGGGCGCGGGCGGCAACCTCATCACGCTGCACTCCCTGGTGCAGCACGTGAAGGGCCACCACCTGTCGTGGGTCGCAGGAGGCGACTGGAAACTGGACCCCGACGTGCTCGCTAGCTGCAGCGGCTTCGACAAAGCAGGGGCTCGGGTCCACGCACCCATGGAGGCCACCTGCCGTGAGCAGGACATCTACCTCGCGCGGGAGTACCTCGTCACAGGAGGCGGGGGCCTGGCCTGCCAGGACCTGCTGGTCCTTCTGAGCACCCGGTCCCGCCGCGCGACCTCGTGGAGATGAAGCTCAAGGGCGAGGCCGACTGACCGCTGGTGAGGGTCGCCGAGCAGCCGCTCCCGCTCCCGGCCGCGCGGCCGGTGGAGCCCCGCGCTGCTCCACCCGACTGGTGGGCCACCAGCACTGCAGTGCGTGAGGCGCTGGCCGAGTCTGAAGGGGAGCCGCTGCCCATCCTTGAGAGGCAGAAGGTTGGTCGACTCCGTTCACGCCGCCTGGCCGCGCACGGCACGCCTGGACTTCGGAGGGGAGGTTCATGCCAGTGGTGCGGCCCTTGCCAACTGGGGCGGCCCCTTGGAGTTTGAGGGCCAGCCCCTCTGCAAGCTGCTGGCCACGCCAGAGAACCCATGCTCCAGAGCAAGTCCGGGGGTACGACGGCTGGTGGGGCATCTTGGCCACACTGCAGGGCTGCTCGCAGATGTGCTGCGAGGTGCACGCGCCGAGCGGGACACTCGTCGCGAGGCCATCATGAGCCTCAGCTTGGAGCTGGACCCAGGAGGCAAAGCGCACGACCACTACAGTGAAAACGTATAGTAAGGACGCGTGGTAAGGACGCAAGACCCTTGGAGGCCGAAGTTGAAGTATTCTGGGCGGCAGGCGGCCTAACCCGCCCCCGTCCTTGACGAACTGTCGACGGGCAGGCAAGGACCCAAGGGCAC